ATGGAAATTCTAATTACGAAAACGGCCGTGTCAGCTGAAGTAACGCATAACGAAGCCAGCCTACCCTCCCGACAATGAAAGGTCAGCACACACAGTGAGGCTTATCCTCGGGTACCCTATGTGAAGATTACGAAGTGAGGGCGATTTCATCCTTAACTGATCAGAGTCGTGTTTTGCGATATACAAAACGTGACTCTCTGTTTTCGTAGATTAGGTTCTACATCTGTTTTTAATAATAATAACAATAATCATTTCCAATTTTTTTAAAAACATTAAATTTCTAGAGAGAGCACGAGAATTTTAAAAAGTATGAAATAGAATATCTAAGAGTAATAAAATTTCAAGACGATATTGATTGTTCAACTAATAGCTATAAAAATGTGCGCGATATAGTTAAAAGAGCAAAACTAGAAATTTATAAATTTTTTTTGTCGAAATGATTATTTAGATATATAGATGTGCGTTGTTTTTTTATTATTTTTTTTATATGCCATTATGTCAAACATGAATAGATCGACGGAATGTAATCGACTAATATATAGCAATATATCCTACGTAACTATCTGTGGGAATTCTCACCGAGTTGATGGCACGATGATACTCGTGAAATCGATCGCGTTGTAACGTGTCCTTAAATATCTAATTACAGCAATGGGTGCTTTGGCTAGTAGATAAAGCCGGCAGTATTCAGCCAGATCACAGGATGGCTGAAAGTGTATTAAGCCGGACCGTGTATATAACGTTGTTGATATTAAAAACCTCGACCCATGTTGATCGCACAATATTATCGCGCAGTTAATATCATTCCGTAAAATATATTGATTTGCGCGTGTACGCGCAATCGAAGTGTGTATAGTATATAAACAAATAAATATATTCACATTATAAATAAATTATAAATGAATATATTTATTTAAAATAAAAAGTTTATAAAATATAAAGTATTAAAAAAAGATTAACTATTTACGCAGATAAACCAAATAGTCAACTATTCATATTTGCGCGGGTATGAGGCTGAAGTTTTTTTTTTTTTTATACTGTGGAATACTTTGGCGGAAGCGATCGACAGCGACACCATGAGCAATTTGATGCGTTGTAGAATAAGAAGCGCAACAAAAAACTTATGTGTTAGTTTGATCATAACGCGATATATGTGAAGAGAGGCGCAGAAATATGGAGAGTTGACTGCATATATATACAGATACTATATATACTTATATATACAGAGATACTAAATATACAGATACTATATATACTTATATATACAGAGATACTAAATATACAGATANACTTATATATACAGAGATACTAAATATACAGATACTATATATACTTATATATACAGAGATACTAAATATACAGATACTATATATACTTATATATATAGAGATACTAAATTACTGATTATAAAGTATTGTGCAGCAACTTCTTTGACTCTTTCTGCTATGTCGATAATATGTAATTAGAAATGCGTCCCTTACATACATAGGCTGTGTTCCAAAATTCACTGCCAGCGCTAAATATCTATAGTTTACGTCACATATATTCTACAATTTTACTGGCAGCGTGCTGGCAGCAATTCTGGAACACAACTATAATCAATTATAACTACACGTATGTTGTAATATTCCGTGTTATAATCATAATTATATTAGAATTAATTCAATTAATTTCCCTTATACTGTTTAATATTGAAATGTGTATTAATTAATATTGTGAAACATATTGATTATATTAATATTTTATAATTCAAAGACAATAATTTGCAATCGCGATCGAACCGAAATACTTTCGAAATATTTTTTGCACATATTAGAGATTCGCAGAAATGCGATGTACGGAATATACAAAATGTTGAATATACGAAATGTTTTTAAATTTAAAAATATTTCTAGAAAAACTCTGATGTAGAAAAATACAAGAGAAATATTTACACACCTATTATAATATTCTTTCCAAAACAGTTTACAATGTAGTCTAATAATAATTAGACTATAGACTAATAATTAGTCTAAAGAATGTTTACATTTGCTTACAACGCAGTATAAAACATTCGTAAAAATTGAATAGAAAATATGCTTCGCGCGAACGCAGCTAACTTCATTCTTCTATCGCATTCAGATTCGCGCCTATATTTTTTTCAAAATTGTTGCGATATGTACACGCGTTTACATCCTGTACTACTTTTTGATATAACGGTTTTCAGTGAGAAGCTTAGTTCAGAAATAATTCCATATTTGAGTTTTTCGATATTTCTTTCAGTATACATAAAAGATCTGAATAATTATAAAACAACACCCCGCACTCTTACGCTTGTCAATTGCCGCGAGTATCATTTCAAATGTGCGCGTTTTCGGCTAATCTCGTATCTCTACGACGGCGTTCGGCAACACACGCGCTACTGGCTGAATATGTTTTGCACAGTTTCGTATCGCGAAATCTTAGGCCGAGTCCGCAATACCCGATTCAACTAACGCGCGATCAATCAGTTCCGCAAGATTTGCGATAAGCGATTTTGGTCTGAAGTGTGAAAAAACTTTACGCGTTTTTTATTCAAAATATCGTGTTCTCTACGAAAAAATCAAGTCAACGAAATATCTAATCACCGGCACGCGGAGAAGATGCTGTCGTAAAATGCAACCATTAAAAAAACCAAATATGAAGTGTATCATGTGCGCGTGGTTGATTTTCGTTACGAAGTGGAAAAAAAGAGAGAGGAAAGGAGAAGAAAAGGTTACTGTGTAATAAATTAATACAAGCTATAGGTATAATACAATGTTTGAGCATCGTCGGCAATTCCAGCAATTCTGGTATGCTTGATACGAAGCAGAGAATATCTGGAATCCGTCAGAAACGTGGTATTTTCATATTCGGAACGCTCGGAATCGATCGATGACAGTTTAAAGGACAGCACCATTCCTCGGCGCAAAATTGCTATTGCCGTTTGAGTAATTCTATGATTAAACAGAACTCTCTTTTGCTCTTGGAAATTATTCGTGTTATGTTAGTGTTAAACACACACACGCACAAACCTATCGCAGTCTTGAAATAACCTTATCTGTATTTTTCTTATTTCTGTATAGTTATCGCATGCAAAAGAACTCTCTTACGCAATGCATATCTTTACATGCATATCTTTGCAACATGCATATCTTTGCAACATTAGTGGGACAGTACGTGTGTGTACGGTTCTTTTTTTTTTTCTTTTTTTTATTTTTGTTAACCAGTACATAGATGGTATTGCGATGTGTATTGAAATTGTAATTTATTGTTTAACAAAAGAGAAAGAAAGATCAATCAAGTGTCACTATCGACAGGTTGCTTCAAAAGGGTGCATGTGAAATTCCCAACCTGTTGGAGTCTCAAAACCTGTTTTCTCTACGAGTACTCCGTCGACATTCAAATTTCAATCCGATCAATAAAGGATGTATGGAGGAAGGGAGGTATTTAAGGGAGCGGGAGAATTCTCTTGTCGAGAGTGGCGCGGCACGCAAAGATTGAATTTTCGGTTTTTCCAAGCCGCCGCAAATTCTGTCTCTCTCTCTCCTCTCTTCTCTCTCTCTCTCTTTCTCCCTGAGTCGCACCCTCGCGAATTTTCTCCCTCGATTTGCGCGATTCTGATCGCCCAAGTGATCCTTGACCCATCACCGCTTCTCCTCTTGCGCCTTCGTTCGTCGCAGTGCATTTAAATCGACTGCTTAAGTCGACTATATACTAATCTCATAATTCATTTACATATTTAACGCTCGCGTCGTCGTCGGCAAAGTTCGTCGTCGTCGTCGTCGTCGTCGTCGTCGTTGCTCAGGGAGGGAAGACAGACGGAGAAGGGTGGGACAGCAAAGTAAGTGCAACGAAGGGAGTAATTAGTTATGCATGTGTACTTGTCGACCCTACTCGGTCAACTCTTAACTTCTTTAATTTAATAACGCGCGCGAGACAGCAACAAAAATCATCCGTGTCAGCAACAAGAGAGCGGGCAACAAAATAAACTCATGTTTTTTTCACTTTGTTCGTTTAATATCGCGGCGGACACACGCGGAGAACACGCCAAGTATATGTGTGCGTTCAAACAAATTTTGGAAAATGATCGAACTCAATAATCTTCAAGCAAGCACGCGCGTGTTTAAAGCAACTCCGGTTAGTCTTCATGCAACTTTGATAACTCAGTCTCGCCCAAGAAGTTGACTCGGTCGTTACCTGACTGAACGATATCGATTATCGTCCGATGTTCTTGTTTCTCGATGATGAAATACGGTTCTCCCTGACAGGACTGGCAAGAGAGATCGGGAATACGGAGGAAGAGGTTTCTCGAGTGGTGGGTCGGTCGGTGCCGCTTCGCTCGGTGTACGGCGATGGAAATACAAAATCGCCGTTGGTTTCCGGCGAGCTTCAAATGCTGAAGCTTCACAGCTATACATATATATATATATATAGGTATATATATAGGTATGCGAACATATATTTCGTATTGGACAGCGTCAGGAAATTAAGCGAGGCGGTCTCAAGGGCGACGTTCGGACCTCAAACTTCGGCTGGGGAACTTTTCTCGGCATTGTGCTTGGATTTATCTCTTCCCAAAGTGTCGAACTGCTTTTGGGAGAAGAGCCGCGGAACTCAGAAATATATTATTGCTGGTCGTGACTGTTATACACAAACGTTATTTGCCCATCAAGACGCCGGTGGGCGACGGGGATGAGAGCGAAGACAAGGAAATTACGAACGTTAAAAATAATAATTGGATCGTTGTGCAACATTCATTGACATAATTATTTAGTTGCAATATAAAAAACTTCTTTTATATATATAATATATATATTATATATATATATTAGTCAATTATATATTAATAATATATTATATACATATTAGTCGATGATATTATTTGTCGTAACATGTATGTGTATAAAAACAAAAATTGTTTTTTTTTCACAAATTCTACATTTTCTTCGGAAAAAAATAAACAAAATTACACATGAAAACTGACAGATTTAACTTGATTTGAGCGACATAAAAAAAAAAAAAAGAAAACAAAAAAAATAATCTTGTCGTTTATTCGGCGAGATTAGAATCTAAATTATTCACACATTTATTCCTTGTTTCTGCGCTTCGTCCAAGTACTTAGAAGAGAATTCGCCAGTGGGATCGTACTTTACCTTAAGCTGGTCCCATGTTTGCGGTTTCTGAAACAAGATATAAAATCGAATGAGTAATGTCGTTCTCTCTCTCTGTTTTTATCTTTTTACCAAAAGAAAAAAACGAATAAAAAAATCTTTGCTTTTATGAGAAAATTTTTCCAAATTACTTTTATTAACATAAAACTACGCTAAATATTTCCAAAAACCAAAGTACAAAATAGATTCAAGACAAATTGGATCGAAAACTTTTCAAAATGATCTAAAACGAACGCTCGGCGGCCGAGATTGAAGTCTGGGGGAATTCCGAAGAAGGAAACCGAATCGAAGGGGGTGGCGGATTCACATCGCCGTTAAATTATTTGGCTACGAAAGTTTTCCGGGGTGCGGTTTGCAACCAGGACACCCCCCTCCGCTTGTCGCACGTCCACGATCCGCATAGCGGGAGAGAGTTAACCTGTCTGTGTGTGAAAGTCAAACTAGTTCCGCGACATTTAAACTGGCTCGACGTATTCCCCGAGTGTTCTCCTCCCTCCGGTATCAACTCATTACGCGGCCCTGCGTTTAATTAGCCCGGCGAAAAGTGACGGGCCTGGGTATGTGTTAGTACGAGGCGTATATGTGTGTATGTACATACCTTGTTGACTAGAAACCGGATGACCTTCTCGGTGCCCTTCTTTTGCTTCTCGCTGCACTTGCTGCACTCGGTTGCCAGCGCGTCCGGAAGGTTGTCTGAAACGAGAAGAGAAAGAGGAGTTTGCACGTAACAAGAATCCAGATCAGGGACGAGTGGCTGTGGCACAAAACTACAACACAACTTCGATATAATGCAATCGTTACGTGCGCAGTTAGTATGTTACTACAATTGCAAAGATGTCACTTCCAGATTCGTTAAAAAAAATGACCAAGTTTATTGTCTATTCTCGCGGGGACGTTAATTTAACTCTTATTTCTTTATCACAGAGGATACTCGGACAAAGTAAATCTTTCGCGCATGTGTTGCTTCTATTGTGACAAGAATTTTTTCTAAAGAGAGAAAAAGAGGAGAGAGAGAGAGAAAGAGAGATCGGTGTTCATAATACTGTATGTTATTTCTCGAATATGCGGACGTACTGCAGGATTCTCCTCTCGGCTTTTTTGCCCGTCTCGCGTCATTTGCACCAGCTGCTCTGGTCAGCTGGCCGTACACCCGCGCATATAGCTCGTGAATTTTCTGAGACAAGGACTATATATCCTCAGTAACGTATTACCGTCCATCGCACGTTTTATCTCACGATGGTATAGCATGTAAGAGGAAAAAGAAAGAACTCGAGAGAAAAGACGGAAAGAAGAAAGCGATAAACGTGATTTCAACGGAGAGGAGGAATAAATCAAAAAATATCGTGACATACGATGTAAAAAGTAATTAATGAAAACTTCGCGGGGATATAATTCACCAAAAATTCATTGTTAAATATAACCAGTGTTGCGCTTAGATAATTTGAAATAATCTAGATACAGATTAGATAAAACATATACGTATGTATATCTCAGATAAGATGAAGATAATCCGATTTGATCATATCTAGTTAAGAGATGATTTAGTTGAGATTTTTATCTAGATAATTTTAAGAGATATTAAAGAAGTTAGGAAATTAAATAATACATCTCAAGAAAATCTATCGAAAATAATAGTTTTTCAAATGTGCTATCGGATAAACTGTTTCTTCGAGGTACAATTATTTGTTATCCCGTACTGAAAAGTCACATTCAGAAAGCGTACTCATTATCTTAGATAATTTACAAAAGATACTACTTTTCTTATATCTGAGATACAGATAAAGATGTCATATATTTTAATTATTTAGATAAAGATAAAATAAAACAATTATCACATCTAGATGAACATCTAGATAATTTTATCTAGATAATGGAAAACACTGAATATAACGCGCTTCTCCTTATGTATTCTACGTACATAAGATACGTTCAAGAAAAAAATGTTGTTCGCCTCGAAAAAACGTTTGCGGTCGAAATTTGCTACACTAAAATTTGTTGTCTATATTCTGCTTAACCTTATGGCGCGAACATATACGCGAGCGCAGATGTCTCGCCAACGAGACTGTAGGCAAGGTACCCAAAATCTCTTCAACCGTTATACCATTCATATCTGAAGTCGAGAACGCGATTATGTGAACGCGCGCGCCTCGTACATATGTAACGTCGTTAACGAAACAATCTTGCATCGCGCATCCTTCGACGGGGGATGAGACGAGGTGGCCATTAGTGCCAAGGCTGATTCTCCCGTGCATTAGAAAGCGCGCGAAAGATCGTCATTACTATCTCATTTCGTCGTGCATGTTTCTCGCCGCATTATCGCGCCACGTAAACACCGGATGCCTGACGTCGAATATTCGTTGCAATATTCCGCGTCGCGTTACGTTACAGAAATTGTGTTTTATCGCAGCACACACACACACGCGCGCGCACGCGCGCACACACAAATGTATATCTACTCGTTTATCAAAGCGTAATAAAACGCGAAATAATCAAATAATAATAAATTTTTGAGCGCACACTGACCTTTGAGTTCCTTGCCATCGGGCGTGCAGTTTCCTTTGTCCAGCAAACAATTAATGTAGTTTTTTAGCAAACGTTCGCTCTGTAGAATCGAGTCTAAATCGACATTGTCATATTTGGTTGTATATCTATCTTCGGCGAGAGCGCAGGCTACTGCGAGCACGACAACGAGAGCTAGAACCTATACATATAGTAAAAAATTAGAATATTTCTTTAATAAATTACGGAAGAATATATTGAGACACATTTAAATATTTCTACACCGAAAAAATTATATTCTTGTAAGTAGAAGATTTTATACTTAAAAAATCTTCTTAAAGATTTTAGTTGATATTCTTCTGAAATTAAGAATATATTTTTTATTTAAGAATATATTCTTAATTTAAGAATATAGTTTTCGATAGTGAGATATATATGTTTTTCTATAGAGGCTTTTTGTGCACAGCGCGTCAGGAATTAAAAATAAAAATGATTAAATGTTAAAATTATTATTATACTGTATTAGTTTACATTTTATTATAAAAATAATAATTAAAAAGAATATAAATATAGATATATAAATTATGATCATTAAAAATAAAAAATTAAACATAGGTAACATATGTATGA